CAGCAAATCTTGGCCATCATAATGGTTAAATTCTCGAGCATTAGAGTGCTTGTAACGAGTCCCTGATACTTTCCATATGAAAGTACGTCGAGAGTCAGTGGTCACTCATCTGTGAAGAGAACACTCGACAGATGAACGGAAACGGTAGGTCTTCTGGCAAACAGCCCTCTCTCATGAAGCCTTCTGGCAACAGTAATCCTTAAACTCGATTTTCTGTGATAGCACAGAGGTTTCCAAGGAGCTGAAAAATTGCAGTACCTCCTCCTCACTGTTACCAACAAATAGAGATCTTCATTTTCCATTGTGCTTCTAGACTGACCTTGTCCAGGCCTTCTCTCGACAAATCCGGAATCCTGAAATTATTTCCATAAATTGCATTAACGCTGAGCGTAAAATTGAATTCTCTAAAAATTTGGACATGTGGCTGGCAAGTTTCCCACTGTTCACCACCTCATCCCGTCATCTAAACATTGGTGGTTACTCTTTTTTGTTGCTTGAAATTAAATTTAAAAAAAATCGGTCAAGATTGCAGCCAAGAAAAAAAAAAAACTCCTAGAAATTTAAATTTTGCAAGATGCGCTAGTGGGCGAAATACAGATTTTGCCATACACGTAAGTCTATTCCTCTTTTAGCTCCATCTCCACACACGTATACGCTTATATATTTAACACGCAAGATTTACAGTTTTGTTTCCAAGCAGTAACTTTATATTTTGCTCAGGAAATTCACTAAAATATGCAAATGTTCCTAATTTTGAATACCAGTTTGTTATTCTCTTACAATAAAATTTTGTTATATTTAAGTGGAGCAAATTATAAATTTTTTTAGTTTGCTTTTTTTAAAAATAGTCTGGTATATGCTCCAAAAAATTAATTTTTTAAAAGTTAGTTCATTAGTTTTTAGTTTTTTTAAAAAAATGTTGTCCTGTGGCCCACTACAAAACTTGTACAATATCTGATGGTTAATATTCAAAGTTCATCATAATAAAATGCATGATTACTCTGAGAAAGTTAACATTAATTAACTTAATTACTAATTGGTATATCCTAAGTATGCTGTGTGGCCTAAGAAATCTCTTAAATGACCTTCTGAATCCCATTTTTTGGAAAATCTCCCCCCTCTCTCTGTTTAGCACTTTTCAAAAGTTTTATTTATCTATTATTAAAAATGATTGTGCTTTTTTTTTTTTTTGTAATTTACCTACTTCACGCTCCAGTTTCCAGGTCCCCCTTTTCTCTCCAAAAAACTCTAAAGTAATAAAATTGTATAGCCACAATTTCGGCGGAGAAGCCTCGATGCTTTCGCAAAATTGTTAAGAGGATTTAATGCATTCCGACTTTCTAACTTGCTGTAAACTAAAATTGTAGCTAAGCAATTTTATTATTTAGAAGAAGAAGAAAAAATATATGAAGAATATATATATATATATATATANTATATATATATATATATATATATATATATATATATATATATATATATATATATATATATATATATATATATATATATATATATATATATATATATATATATATATATATATATATATATATATATATATATATATATATATATATATATATATATATATATATATATATATATATATATATATATATATATATATATATATATATATATATATATATATATATATATATATATATATATATATATATATATATATATATATATATATATATATATATATATATATATATATATATATATATATATATATATATATATATATATATATATATATATATATATATATATATATATATATATATATATATATATATATATATATATATATATATATATATATATATATATATATATATATATATATATATATATATATATATATATATATATATATATATATATATATATATATATATATATATATATATATATATATATATATATATATATATATATATATATATATATATATATATATATATATATATATATATATATATATATATATATATATATATATATATATATATATATATATATATATATATATATATATATATATATATATATATATATATATATATATATATATATATATATATATATATATATATATATATATATATATATATATATATATATATATATATATATATATATATATATATATATATATATATATATATATATATATATATATATATATATATATATATATATATATATATATATATATATATATATATATATATATATATATATATATATATATATATATATATATATATATATATATATATATATATATATATATATATATATATATATATATATATATATATATATATATATATATATATATATATATATATATATATATATATATATATATATATATATATATATATATATATATATATATATATATATATATATATATATATATATATATATATATATATATATATATATATATATATATATATATATATATATATATATATATATATATATATATATATATATATATATATATATATATATATATATATATATATATATATATATATATATATATATATATATATATATATATATATATATATATATATATATATATATATATATATATATATATATATATATATATATATATATATATATATATATATATATATATATATATATATATATATATATATATATATATATATATATATATATATATATATATATATATATATATATATATATATATATATATATATATATATATATATATATATATATATATATATATATATATATATATATATATATATATATATATACATATATATATATATATATATATATATATATATATATATATATATTAAGTACAGGGCTAAAAAAAATATAATAGTGATAAACGTAGGGGTTGCTCACGTATAGTTTGTCTACAGTATGAGTTCCCCCGCCGCAAAGTCTGAGGCTGTCTGCTGCTATGTAAACAAGAATAGCGCATTGCAGGGAGAGTAGCTTCGCTTCACTCTAGAGTTAACACAGTAGACGGAAGAAACGAATTCCCTTTCTCTCTTCGACCCGAGCCAAAACCTGTCCAAAACAATGAACTCACACACCTGCTTAAGTTGTTATACCTCGTTACCACAGTCACTGCCACGGGTCCAAGGGAATGGCTAGGGGAGTTCTTACTTTGGACAAACTATAAACAGTAGATGGTGAGAAAAACAAGGATCGCATGCGGATTATCAGAAGGTCATTTTACGTGAGACTCAGTAGAAATAGTGATAAAATGCGTTTTCTTCTTCTTTTTTATAGAGGCCTAGATGAAAATTTGTTAAGGGAGACATTTGTGACGCACGAAGAAATCCCAATTCCTTTTTGTAAAACAAATGCATTCAAAAAGGGTTAAAAAATATATGTGTTTAAAAATTTTCCAAAAATACACAATTTTTAAACACCTCTACCCACCTTAGCATGAATTGGAAAAGAAGTATTTGATTTGATGTATCGATGAAAAGTGTTTGTGTTGTGATGTTTTTCCAGAAATAAAAACTAAGTTAAACAATCCAGTTTTGTAAAAAAGAGTCCCATAAAAGATGTTTATCCATACGGTAAAATTTCGGTAAAATTCGAATGCGTGATCAAAGTTTTTATACGAAAAAAGTGGTGAAATAAGCATTTTCGTACAGACGGATTTGGATTCTAAGTTTTCCAATAAATCTTCTCTGAAAAGTTGAACAATATTTTAATGTCTACATCTTTAAACCTCAAAAAGTTTTTTCTTTTTATTTCTATATTTTACAGATTGAAATGTTAGACCAGTATTGCATATGATGTACTAGATAAACTACATCATATTTAAGTTTCGCACGGTTCAACCTTTGAACTTTTGATTTGAAAAACCTGACAAAGAAAAATTTTGTTTTTAATTATTTAGATTGAAATAAATTTGTCTCACGCGTGCTTATTGTCCTATTCCATTTAGACGCTTACGAAACGCTCAGCATATATCTTACGAAAGTTGAAGTTTACCAAGATCAAGTTCAAAATTTTCTGAGAAAAAGATGTCATAACAGGAAGTTGGTGGTAAAGTGCAAGTAAAGAGAACACATCTTTTAAATTTGTGTTTTTAATTTATTCTCATTTAAAAAATATTTACTTAAGGAATATAATTCGATTTTTTGAAGGAGAATGGCTTTTTCTTGACGATTTTTAACTTTGGTCCCGAGGGTGAGAGGTGCGAGTTATGTCTGACTGGGGGCAATTGCCCTCCTCACTGATCTCAAACTGGCACTGCCCTTGGGATCAAAGGTAATATTCTTCAAATCAAATTTTATTTAGATTCCATTATATCATAAAAATAATTATTTTTAGAAAATATGTGGAAAATTGCATAAAAATCCAAAGCATTTGTGAAGTTCAATTGCTGATCCAATGAATATTGAAATAAGTTTAAATTTTCTATACATTCGCAACACAACACAGAAGTTCACCTTCTGTGTTGTGTTGCGAAACATAGATTGTTCAAATTCACGTTTTTTTTCCCTTTTTTTTCTTTTCTAATAAAGTGCGTATTTAAATGTTGTCGATTGTCATCTAAAAGAGGGAAAGGCAATCGTTCTTTTGCAATTAAAATTCCTGTAATGACATCATTGGAAGAAAAGGTCCATGATCCCAGTTGTCTTACAATTTCTTTTACGTTGCTCGATTATCTCGAGTCAGAACCGGATACCGTTACAAATAAATTTGAAATTTCAAGCATAGCCTAATTAATAGTTCAAATCCCCTTTTTTAATGTTCAATCATTTTTGATGAAGAGTCCCTTATTTATCTTCATAATTTTATGCAATGCCATATTTAAATAATGTAATAATAATCCTTTTCGAACGATTTTTTCGAAACCTACAGAGTGAAACCGTTACGCTACACTATATCGAAGGTCTTGCCTTCAATTTGCTTTCCACAGTAAAATTATTTGAAGAACTCACCTTTCCCGGATAGAAAAGTGACAACCTTCTATATGCTTTTTCGAACATCTCTTTTAAGTTACACAACCACCCACATTCCCTAAATCACATGACCCTTTTTGTTCCCGTGACGTATTTGACAGGCCTCTCTTTAAATATAATTTGCCTAAATAGGATCTGGCTTCTCTCGTCTTCCTGCATATTTGCATTGTCTTCTGGAATCGTTCTGAAAGGTAAGTGAGCTCTAAATGAAATATTTTGTATCTTCTCTTATTTGGCGAGAATTCCTCAATTCATAGTCACATTATATTTGATTGTATACGTACGTCATCAATAATACATGGTTAAAAGCCTTTATTATTATAATATTTTTAAAATTAAATATGTTAGTTTATAAAGAATAATTGAAGTGAGAATAAAATGACACCAGTGTGTGTTTTTTAAAATTACAATCCAAACAAATATTACCTGTTGAAAGTATATACTAAAAGCTTTTATTGCAATATTACATTTTTCAATTAAAACTTTTTACTCACTGCTTTATCCTTATTTATATGAAAGTAAAACAGCGAATGTGACAACTTCTAGCTGCATGGGAAAAACAAAACATAATACTAATAGCATTAACTCTAGTGGACGGATTTTCATATACAAAGAAGCAATCTTAATGGTTGAAGAGTCTTTAAATTATCATGCATGTGCCACTATTTTTCTCTGCCGCAGTTTGATTTCAATAAAATCGAGTTAAACTTGCAATCAGTTTTTCAGATACAGTGGAGCGTTCCTCACTAGAATAGGTGCTTTAAGTACGGTTAAAAAAAAAACTGCGCCAAAAAGAATTTTTTTCGATACTGAGATATGAACATTATACACAAAATGAGAAAAAAATGGCATCTAAGTTACTGATCTGATTTTCAGGTACTAATGTTTCGACGAAACGCTAATTGATTCGTGCAGATGATATTTTTAATTTACGAAATCAAACACAAAAATGTACTTCCTCTAAACAAACATGTTTTCTATATGAGGGTTCATATTCTTCACCCTCAGAATATGAAGAAGTAGCTGCAATCTGGAAAATATAGTTTTAGTAGCTAGGACAGGAAAGCGGTCATAAGTAGAAAATTATTTATTTCACCTTTATTAATTATTTATATCTCATTATTTCGTTATTTATTTCCCTTTTTAAGTATTTTCTGCATATCTTTGGAATTATTTAAAAACCTACAAACGTTTTTATGAAAAAATTGTAAAAAATCGTTGATTCAACGATAAATAAAATAGAGGATGATTATTCCTTTTTCATCATTTGCAATAATCAAACATTTTTTGAAATAACTGCTCGTTGCACAAATTTTTGATAACTATGTAATTTTAAATCACAAAATCTAAAATGAAAACTGATTCGGTTAAAAATTGTTGACTTTTTTACATTTCATTGTTACAAAAGTATTGAGCCCATTTCACAAAATTTTTTGAATCGTCATTTAAAAATACAGTTAAAACTCTTTTTAAAAATTTGTATATGAAATAAGTTTTATTTTACATGACATAATCTTTTGATTAAGAGTTTTTTTCTTCAAGAATGCTTACTTTTATTATTATTATTTTGCATAAATAGTTCGGGTAATGTAAAAACGAAAGATGGAAAATGTGAAAATAACATTACGGAGTCCAAGCTTTCCACCGCATTTGAAAATCAACTCTAGTGACCATATAGTGTCGTTACTCTTATTACTTTGAAAATCATGAATCCGAAAAATACATAAATACTTAAAATACACAATACTTAATAGCTTTTGTGAAACTTTTCTTAGAAGTACTTTTAAGTTTTAATTCTGCTCTTTTAAATTGAAATAATGGTTTAAAATCTAAGTTTAAAATTTCTAAATATTTTTATATAATGGAAACGGAGAGCATAAATTTGTTTATTTAGGGGCTTTAATTTAGGCTTAAGTATTACTTCCAACAAGAACTTGATTCGAGGTTACGTTTACGAAAATTTCGATAATTATCTTTATTTCTTGTTTGTTCTCCTTGATAAGCATTTCTTTCTTTTTCTTAGTTTTTATGCAAATAATAGATACATCTTGCAATTTCTGACTTACTGAGCTTGGCGGCGAAACAATTACAGTCTCGTCTTTCAGCAGATAAAATTAACAAATAATTCATAGGTGAAAAAGCAATGCTTTTTATTCATTTCTCGCAAAAACTACTTCATATATTTGTATTTTCTCTGCTCATTGGATAGAGTACTGCATAATTTACTCTTTTTTAATTAGCTACAATAATTTAATTTTATATTTTATTACGACACATAACCATTATCTATAACTAATGTATATAGGCAATACCTAAAGTAATAGCTCCATTTTTGAAATACAAAAATCTGTTAATATCCGATAATATCGACATTATTTTAATGGTAAAAGATTTGTCTGTTTACCAGCATAATCCCAAGTCAGTAAAATGCATTTTAGCGGCAATTTTTGTGCTATCATGTTATACCAGCACCCCACTATGTCCCAATCTCATCATTACTCCATCAAACAGTGAAATCCCTCAATTTTCAACTGTGGCTTTCATTCCAAGTTAAAACGAGTCTGTCTCAGATATAAGATATTAAATAAGGTTCAATGCTTTCTCAAAACATAGTGGGGAGCTGGTATAGCATAGGCATAAAAATTGCCACAGTGTCTATGAAAATGAATCTCTCAAGGAACAAAAAGTTGTTCGTATCAGAAAATAATAGGAAATGAAAATAGGAAAATTTACCTTTGGAATTGCTCTAGTTGAAAAGAGCATTGTTGCTTGCATGGAAATAACTGTTCCGAGGTATATGTGGTCCTAGGCACAACATTCTTCCTAACAAAAGTTCAACATAACAAGCTATTCAGCAAACCCGCTAAAAATTGCTTATCTCTGCATTTTGCAAAAGCATAAGAAAATTTGTAGAACAATAAAAACATCCTCACTATATAACATTTGCATTTAATTATGGAGATGCAACTATTCAATACAATTAAACAACCCGACTTTTTTCTGTTATTTATGGATAGGGTTACATTAAAATTTGGCCAGCAGAAATATGTAATGGCTATTTTTAAAGTAGAGGTGTTCGAAACTCAATAGTGAGAAAACTGCTGCAACGAATAAGACTGAATTTGCAATAGGTATCTACTATTTAGACGATAGGGATTCGATTTTTTAAAGGAAAATTTTTTTTCTTCCATTTTTCACCAACAGGGTTTGAAATGGTGCTGTAAGATAAAATAGGCATTGCAAGTTTAACACTTTGGATACATTTTGATACAGGCACCACATTTCTTACATACTTTTGTATATGATACATAAATATAATTTGAATATATTAGTAAGTCGACGCATTCTCATTGGGCAAATAAATCACATGATATCATCAGCACATCATGATATCAATCAGTTGTCATCAACAACTTGAATGTTAAGATGCAAGGGAAAAGCAATTGATCAATGATACCTGGGCCCAACTCAAAGCTTTTAAACTGAAGCTTAATTTGTTTGCCGGGTAGCTAACTAAAAACGACTTGTCTCATTTCTAGAGGTTAAATTCAATACCCTCAGTAAATAAGGAATATGGCTTGAAAAACTCCATTTTGAGTTTTAGATTTCAGTGCCATTCAAACAGAATTAGATATTTTTACCATGCCTTTCAACGTAAATTGTGAAGCAGTGAGGTCGGATTTGCAGCGTTGAATAATTTGAGTTGCTATCTAGCAATCATCTGAAGCAGTTGCTTCTAAATATGCCAAAGTTTGAGTTTTACAAATCTTTACCAACAGTTAGTTTTCAAAATTTAATATCTCATGCCCAGAAAATCAGTGCTACGTTTGCTTCATCTTATATGTTGATAAAGTGTTTTCAACTATGAACCTTAGAAAAAATAATTTCAGAAGTAGACTAACAGACAACCATATAGCCTTAAAATAAGTACATCTCACTTCGAACCTCAATATAAGGAACTTTTAAAATGAAATCGCAATTTTATTCATCTCATAAAATATTTAAATTAAAACTTGTATGTTGTTTCTTTATTTTAGAAATTTTTACTTAGCCCAACGAACTTTTCTTTTTCGATTTTTGGCCCTCGACCAAAAGAGTTTGCCCATCCCTGCAATAGACCAAAGAAAAAGATTTCCTTTCTCCCGCCGACCCCAAACCCCTTCTTGAAATAGTTGCACCTTGTTACCATAGCCACCGCCACGAGGTTAGATGAATGACTAGGGAAGTTTTTACTTTAGACAAACTATAGGTGTCTTTTCCTTTCTCCAAAACAGGCTTCAAGCTTACAGAATTGTATCAGCTATTCAGATACCTTATGGAGACCAGTACTCTACACCAGGGTGTGGAAGGCCTTACAAGTTGTCGTCACAGATTGTATCCACCCGATTCTGTCCCTAGCAAGCTTCAGAATTGTACTATTATGGTCACAGTAACATCCATAAATGCAATTTAAAAATTAAAAGAAAAAAAATAATACCGTACTACTTGATTTAAGATTTGAAATTTTGAAATCCTACTGCATGATTAAAGAATGAAAATCGTCAACACAATCGCATTAAGTCGCAAGATATAATAAGAGTAAAATGAAAAGACGATTTTGAATTATGGTTGCCAGACTGTAAATTAATAACACTTTTCTCGCACGATTTTTTTTTATCAATAATTATAACGCCTCTTCATTTTGACTTAGTCACAGTAAATGAAATATTTTTTACAACTCAGACGAAATTTTTAGCCATTTTTGACGAGAAATAATGGTCTAGTTTCTGCACTGTGTTCAGTGGAAAGATTTTTTTAATTCTTCATTACCGTTAACAATTTTTATATAGTCGGAAAAATCCAGCTAAATTAGCGCTTTTTTAATAAGTTTAATAATTTTTTTCAGTTTGAAATATGCAAGTTATTTTTTCAGTTTTAATATTAGATATTTCTTTCAGCGAGATAGTTTAGCAAAATATTTGAAAAATGCTTGTATGAAAAATGTGTTACTAATACATAGTTATCTATACTAAATGGAATATATCGAATATTATGCAAGAATATTTGTTTGTGCTATTTTTAGCTTTAAAATAGCATTATGAACTACCTTCTGATCCAAGTAATAAATATTTCTATTATCGATTATGCTGGACAGAACTATTTGGTTTCTGTAAATCGAATTTTAACAATGAAATACTTGAGCTTCCACTTTTCTTTATATATATATAAAGAATCATCATCTTGAAAGAAAATTGAAAATTGGTTTTAAAAAAAGCTCTGCTTTGGGCACTCAAGAAGTGTTCTTTATTTTTTTCGCGAATGATCTTCGAAAAATGGCTTAAAAAAAGAGGGGGAAACAATGAATTTCGTTTTCATCATTTTCATTAAATCGTCTCCCATTCAGACTTTTATGTTTTACTACATCAACAAGCATGGCTGTTAGGATGCCAGAAGAAAAGTGACGAGCTTCACCTTCAACCTTCAGAAAAAGGAAATGCTTCTGTAATTGAAGGTGAAATATTATAGCAAATAAATTTCCATGGATGATGGAATGGAGCTCCTCAACGCGTGAAAACTTCTTGAAGCATGAATATCCAGCAAAGTGTTTTTTTTTTTTTTTTTTTTTTTTTTTTTTTTACTGGGTAGCTAAAGAGCAAGCTATTTTTTAAAGTGCAGTCACCAAAAGTCAGTTATTTCTAAGGAACACGTTCTGTTTAATTTTGAACCAAAAATAAAGTGCTAATAAATGCCCCAAAATAACTCATAGCACTTACTACTTTCAAAATATCTCATAACATTTACTACTTGAGTACTGAAAAACTCAATGGAACGAGCATGTCATGTTACGAGAAGTCTGCTATTACGACAATTTTTTCAAAGAATTCATCCTTAAAATGTTAATACATGTTTATAACGTGTTTAAAATTAAGCCTGCTATTATATAACGAGTTAAAAATTACTCGCCTTCTGTTATTGCGACACATTTTTTGGATTATTAAAGGGAGGAAGATAATATGAAAAAAGGCAACGTGGAAGACATTTTCATTTACATCTAGTATCAATAAAAAAAAGTTAAAAACAAGTATCATTTACAATATCATTTCACTATCTACTGGTCAAGTAATCGTCATCTTAACAAAAGAAAATACTTCTGCTATCTTAAGAAACTTCTAAAGGATACGGCTTTTTTTGTTGACCACATATTTATCTATCAAATCTATTTTTCGGAAAGTTCACTGATAAAGTCAACATTCAATTGTATCAATAACGCCTGAAAATATTGCACTTCCTTTAATTTTTTAATTTGTTATTATTATTATTATTTCTATTTTAACATAAAATCATCGTCATGCTTTCTATAACGACAGTTTCATCTGCTGTAGTAAATTTTCTTCATATCATTTGTTGATGAGAACTGTTATTATAATGGACTTTTAATAAATATTTCTGTTGTTAATTTTAACTTTTCTTTAAACTTTTAATGTATCTATGAATCTGAGTTAACTCTTAGTCTGAATTTTGGTTATTAAGGAGTATGTTGTTGTAACGTGTGTTGTTTATTTAATTATGAAAGTAAAAGATCGGATTAAGTAAGAAATTGTTGTTAAAAAAGTTCAATGTGACTGATTAGTGATTTTTCTATATTTAAATTTTTGCAGAAACTCACCTTCAAGATGGTCGTGAGAAATACTGCACCTAAACTTTTTCTGACGTTGCTCGCCATTGCAGTTTGCTTACCATTCCAGGCGAATGCATTGTGCTTTGGTCAAATGTGTAAGATTTATCCACAAATGGAGCATTTTTGTTGTGATTTTATGGGAGTTAAAGAATGCTGCACATCAGATAAACTCAGAGGTGGTACAAATTGCATAAAGGTACAGTAGATAAAACATCAAAAACCCCAAAAAAAATTCTAAATGCCTTTTTTCAGAAACTATTTTTTTATTTTGTCATTGCAAAAAAAAATTAACACAAACATTTAAAGTTCATACATAAGGCTTTGTGTTGGTTGTATAGCATAAATTTTCCAGCAAATATAATAGTTTTTTTTTAATCTTCAGAGATACATGGTGTCATAAATTAGACTGACAGTTTTCAAAAATTCATAACAGCAAAACGGTTGAGGTTAAAAATAAAGGAATGATTCTTGCAGTTCATTTATTTTTCTTCTCAGAATTATTTTAAGTTTCAGTTTTTAAAAAAAATTATCGAATAGTAAGCATATATATCAACGGAAAATTATTAAAAAATAATAACACAACTTGTCACATTACGACATGCGATTGCGGCTGATGGAAATTTAATAAATATTGTAACGTGATTTTTCATTCAGTGTAACATTTTGAAAAATTATAATTTATGATATGATTTAGGATTCCCCCCCCCTTAATCTGTTATCGCTTAGAGTTATATTTATAGAACAGTTTCTTTTTTCAAATACATTTATTGTGGTAGGCCAATTGTTTAAGATTTATTGTTCGTCTAGATGATTTAAAAGATTACCTTCCGTCATAATTTATTAATGGTTTAGGTTTCTGTAACAAGATTTAGGTATTAGGTATCTATATCAGGGGCTGGCATTTTTGAAATGAAACAGTAAAAGTAGAAAAATAGCTAAAAATAGAAAATATCACTTAATTTAATATCATATACTAAACCAATTTTTACATAAAGCCACTTTTTGTATCACTTTAATATATAAAAGGTCGGGATAAAGCTGCCAAAATAAGCAAATCATACTCTTCTTGTAAGGAAAAATTCGCAAGCTTAGAACTATAAATATAATTGAAATATTGATGTAAAATATTTACAAGTGAAGCAAGACATTATAAAGTCGAGAACTTATTTTATAATGTAATCGTTTTAATTTATGGAACTTAATTTATGGACTCCTCCATGAAGTCCAACCACCATTTTGTCGGCCTCCCTGTTTTCCCTGTACCTACAGTTAGTCTTTTAGCTCATCCACCTGATCTTGTATGACTTAATAACTCATAAAATGTTCGGCTCTTTATGTTTATTAAACACTTCATGGTTATATAAGAATCTCCATGCATTATTTTCTTCCACTGCTCCAAAAATTAACCAAAGGATTTTTCTTTCAAAAGCGAGTAATATATTTTCTTCTGCTTTATTAAGCGTTCAAGTCTCACTGCCATACAAAATAATCGGTCTTAGAAGCGTTTTATATAAGCGTACTTTAGTATTCCTGAAGATAAATTTAGATTTTAATTGGTTTTTCAGTCCGAAGTAACATCTATTATCCATCAATATTCGGCTTCCACTTTCGACTTTTAGCTCATTTTTATTGGTTATTAGTGTGCCCAGGTACTGGGGGACTCCACTAAAGGTATAATTGCCAATTTTGAATTTGTGATATTATCAGATGAAAAATTACTAGGATTATTATCTAGGTAGCAAAATGGTAAATGTTATTTACCTTCAAATGAAAACATTTTCCTTATTCCTCAGTTTTATTTAAAATATTTTTTTTACAGTTTTTATAGTACTCCTGGAGAAAGATAATCCAATTTGAAATTTTTAACAATGAGGACCTTTCGGCTATACTTCAATTTCTGTAACGAATTTCACACGCGCAATTGCTGTAAAAATATCCGTTTCTAATTACAAAAGAAGTACCAGCCCTCAGAGTACCGGTCCTATTTACCGTAAAATCCTTTTTACCGGAACATGTTACGGAACAAAAAATCTGATATACCGTAATTTTTACAGTAATAGTTATCGTAAAATCATCGAATCATTTTAATTAAACAAATGTCTGTGTAATAATTGAGTATAATATTTTAGAGTAAAAATGGATTTTACTTTTATTTTATGGAAGATGTTCCCAAAGGCACCAGTAGTTTATACCGTAATTTGATGCGGAAATTTTAACTGTGTACGTTCCTAAAAATTCGGTTCAATGTTGAAGGATAATACCGGAACTTGTACCACTATGTAAATTTGTTGCAAATCAAAATCTTTAATTAGACTTCGTTAAGGTTGAACTAAATTATTCAGCAATCAAATTGAAAATAATAAAAATAATAATTTGCTGGATAATATGATTCAACTAGGTACTTAACAAGGTTGCTGGAAATTTGAACATCATTACAGTTCGATGTGGTCCAAAGGTTTTAACAGCATGTTATATCCATAAAAAAAAATCGCAAGTATTGTTCACATTTGAAATCTCACACAAATATAAGTTTGACACAAATCTAAACGCTATGCGCCTATAGAATTTTCACATTTCTATCTTCAAAATAAAACAAGTAATGTTTTAATTCCACTTTTCCTTTTGAAACTTATTTCAAAACAGAAAATATCAAGCAAATGACACAAAATTTTTCACGCATCTTATTCCAACAATATATGTAGTCCTAATTTTTATTAAAAAATATTTAAAGTTTTATTTTAGTATAAGTTTTGCATTCCGAAATAATAAGTCAAAAAGTTTATTGTCACATTAATAAATGGTTTAACATTGATCAAATTTTAAACCATGCTTTCTGTAAATTTGTTTTTCCTTTGAACTCTTGGAAAAGTATAGAAAGCACAACCTCTAAGTCTCTTTTCTCTGTAAGCTGTATACTGTTTCTCTGTATGCTGACTTTTTAGCCAGCATACAGAGAAACAGTATTAATTTTACAGCATGAACATCTCTACTTTATCCTATACTGATTTTTCGTGCAAAAAATACAGAAAAATATAAATGTTTAGAGTCACTCCTTCAACTCTTATTGCAATTTTTAAAGGATTTTCACAGGCTCACGGGTCTTCGAATCCAAATTCTTCATGTTTTTTCCCCACCTTTTTTTGTATATTATTGAACCTTAAAACGAACTTCTTATATTATTAACAGTACACTATTATTAGTCTGATGTATTATTAACTTAAGAGTTGAAAAGTACTTCAATAAATATCAAAATGTCTTTTCTTATAGAATTTCGCATGATTCTCAATTTTGCTACGATGAATTTCTAAAAACAAGTATAGCTTATCGAAGAAAATTGCTTGCCTACTTTATCATCAAATCAACTCGATGTAATGTGCACAAAAACACCGTAAAATAACTGAAGGTCGGCCAATGGAGGGACCTCCATGGGCTGTCGTGCCATTCAGTTTAGTTCAGTTTACTTATAACTAAAATTACTGGATTAGTTTGAACAAAATAATACTTCAATAATAAGATAAGAGCCGTGATGGCTCAGGGGTTCGCCTTCCAATGAGGTGAACCGGTTTCGAATCCCAGCGATGGTTAATCAATACGAATTCCACATCCGGCTTGCACTAACCACAGTGCTGATGTGAAATATCCTCAGTGGTATCATGGGTTAGACTCCCATTGTCATTAGGCTAACAGTGGGAGGTTTTCGTGGTTTTCCTCTCCATATAACGCAAATGCGGGTTAGTTCCATCAAAAAGTCCTCCAAGAAGGCAAATTTCTCCCAATACTTGATCGAGAAGTTCCCTTGTCTTCTGGATTGGGTTCAAAATTACAAGACTATGGAGTTAACGATAAGTGGTCGAAAGTCCAAAAGTGATAAGTCCAAAATTGGGTCGGCTCTTCAACGACGATTATGAATAAATATAAATACATAATAAGGTGACTATCAGAATTATAATAAGGTAACTATCAGAATTGAATAAGGTAACTATCTAACGCAACATTTATTATGTTAATATATCCGCATAAGTAATTTTTAAAATAGTACTTTGTTGGTAAGAAATTCATTACAAATGATAAGTTGGTCCGGGACAGATATTTCCGATATAAAGCGTATATGAATATAACTACTAAGACAAGATTTACCTCATCTATTCTCTTAATTTCGGTATTTTATTGGAATGAAAGGCAAACGTTCTGATGGTCGCCAAACTGTGTTAAATCTATTGAATAGCAAATGGGACTTAAGTTGTGGATCGTTTTAATGGAAGAGTCGGTCTGATAAAAGGTCGAACTAAAGAATAGAGTCAAAAACAGTTTTAAAATTTTCTACACACATACATCTATACATAATAATAAAAGCGGCTGTGTGTGTGTGTGTGTGTGTGTGTGTGTAAGTAATCACAATATATCGCCCCAGAAGCCTCGCCCAGGCACGAAACTCGGCACATAATTGTGTTTTGACATAATGAAGAAGTATTTTTTTTCTTTTTCAAAAATTTGGATTAGTTTTTTAGTTATCAGTCATTTTGTAAGAAAATCTATGCTTTTTCGTCTTCAAAGAGCCATATTCAAAAAACTATTAAAAAATGCATATACTTTTCTCCACTCTTATAAATGTATGCTAATGCGAACCTTACAATTGAAATATTAATTTTCGACAACTTAAACCAATAATATACGAAGGAATTAATAATTTAATTGTAAAGTTCGCATTAGTTTACATTTATTAAAGTGGAGAAAAGTTTAACTTTTGTATTAAAAATGTGGCAACATATTCGATACGTAAATAGAACGCTTCGCTTTGATATATTTGTCGCTGTTCATAATTGTTATAATAAGTTTTTCTTCTTCTTTCCACGCTCTATTTTTTTTTTCTTAAGCGAAGACGATAATTTTTGTAGCGATATTGTAGTACTTTGTACAACTAAAAATTCTTTTCACAACACTTTAAAAATATTTACTTTATTTTCTTTATATATACAGAGAACAGTCGGCAAAGAATTCGATTAGGTTGAAAAACATTTCGCTAAAAAGGAACGAATTCCAAAAGAAAAAATAAACAACTTAAAGAATAAAAATGCTGATGCCAGCCAATTTTTTGAAAGTTAACTTAGAAATAACAAACCAAACGATGTTAAATAACAAACCAAACGATGTTAACAAAATGACGTAGAAAGCGCAACTAGATCAAAATTATACAAGCACAACTAGATCAAATTATAATACCTGAGTGCTTGACGTAACAGATATAGAAATAGAATTTGATACCATAAAAAATTATATAGAAATAGAAATTGATACCATAAAAAATTTATTCGTTTTCGTGTTCTTTTCATGTATTTAGCATTTTAGTTTTTTTTTTTTTTTTAAGCGTTGTAGCTATATAATTTCAAACATCCTCAAGAGCTATAACACATCTGCAGCAGAACTGGATATGAAGACAAAATTGCTGGACAGGAACACTTTAATTGTCCACTAATCTTCAGATTTCCTGCTATGTTTTAAAAAACTTTATTTGTGAAAACCTTCAGCGTGGCGGACAGCTGGCCGCCTTAGGCGGCTAGTACACAATAAAAAAACATACGTTGTGATTTTACGATTGAAAAATAATTTCATCCACCCTACAGCTATAATATTGCTCCCAGTGATTTTCACGTTTTCTTGCACCTCAAGAAATTCCTGTCCTCCGGTGAGTGTTCTGGCAATGACGAAGAACTGAAGACGTCTGTCACACGTTGATACCATTCACAGGCGGCAGAGTTCTACGACAGAGGGATACAAAAGTTGATTCTGATTGAATTGTTGCCAATAAATATGTTCTTGAAAATGCGAGTTCGTATTTTTTTATAAATTAGGGAAACTTACTTTCTGGATGCGCCTCGTATTTTTGAAGCGCTTGTTCAAATACATTAACGAGTGATAAAGTGTTGTGTTACATATTTAATGAATGAGTAAGAAAAAATAGTCAGGGCTAATTCATCATCGTAATTGAGGCATTTTTTTATTTATAAATTTTTGCTTACTTGATTTTATATATCAAATACAATAAAGTATATTTTTTACATTATTATATTTTATTTACATTTTATATCTGCTTTGTATTATATTGCTAACATTATAATTTTTTTTCCAGACAGTAATTGCTCAATAACAAACAGGAAATACCTCAAGCATATACTCATCCAATTTTAAAAAAAAACAAGCTTTTACTAAGTTAACAGTTACAAACTGTATATTATAATGTACACTAATTAAAAACTATGTATTATATTGTTGCTCAGATATTGTATTCATTTTGATTTGGTTTAATAAAATGTTCACTTTTTTATCTGCTGATTATAAGATAAAAGACAAATGTCATTATTTTTTATATGAATAAGTCAAACTTATCAAGGAGTCATGCGAATATACGAGGTTAAAAACTAATAATCAATTACTTTCGTTAAATTTCTTTTTAAGGAAAATGTCTAGATATATGTGCATAAGAGTTTGTTCAAAATTAACAAGTTTATGCATTGCGAAAAAAAAAGTATGATCAAAACTGCCAGAAAATGGTTAAATTTACCATGTTTCTTGCTGTATGAGAACACCAAAAAGCTCGATAAATATTACCGAAGCATTTTGGTAATGATTTTGATTAAATTAACCATCTGTTTTTTTTTTTACCTTATATTTTATAACCGTCGCCGAACAGCCGACCCAATTTTTGGGTTTACGATTGCTAATGTTCAACTACGTAGCCTTGTAATTTTGAACCCAATCCAGAAGACAAGGGAACTACTGGAATAAGTATTGGAAGAAATTTTCCTTCGTGGAGGACTTTTTTATGGAGCTAATCCGCATTTGCGTTACATGGAGAGGAAGACCACGAGAACCTCTCACCTTACTCTGACGGCAAGGGGACTCTAACCCATGATCCGTCTACAACTGAGGATATTTCATGTCAGCACTGTGGCTCGGGCAAGCGGAATTCGTATCGACCAACCATTGCCGGGATTCGAACCCTGTTCACTTCAATGGAAGGCGAATTCTCTAGCCCCTGTGCTATCGCGGCTCAACCATCTGATACTGAAAAAAAATAATAAAGAAAGAAATAACAATCTAGTGTTATAATACTTGATAAAATTTAGTTAATGTGGCACGATTTGGAAATTTTATTACGATTTCTTAGAGCAAGGCATAAAAACTGTTTATTAAATGTGTGGTAATAAGAAATATGATTTCGAAAACCAGAAATTTCCGGTAAGCTGTTACCATATGAACGAAAAAATTACTAAATGAATAGTTTATAAATACCATATAATTTGTTGTTATTACCAGAACTATCGTATTTCATTTTTAACCAGAAATGTCATTACCATTCAGTATGATAATTTTACCAGAATTTTTCTTTCTTTTTTTCGCAAGGGGAAAAGTCATTAAATCCTTTTAGACAAACTAAAAATTGAATACAAATGAATATTGAAACTGAATGAAAACCTCATGAATATATTATTTTTTTAAGTGAATACGAATAAAAGCAGTAAACCATGCTTTTCTTTCAAAGATTTCCCTCAGCCTGAAATAAGAAATGCATGATCATATTCGAAAAGCAACTTAATTCATAAATTAACATGAGAAAAATGTCTATTTGCTCTCGCGAAAAACAAAAAAGTGCGCGCTGTTTCTTCTTATTTTCTTTATGAAAGAAAAAATCCTAACTACGAATGGTAATAGACGTTCTATCGAGTGTCAAAACCTTGACATATTAAATGAAATTCTTTTATTTTCCATGAAAAACACTGAGCCGTATAATAATAGTTAAGAGAGAGAGAGAAAAAAAACGGCTATCGAAATTTAACGAATAACTACTGCATCAAAACTTGTTTGCTTGCCAAAAAAAAAAAAAAACAGAGAGGAGTTGAAAAGTAATTATACCTCCCATTTTCTTCCACTAATGAAACTAGTATTAGTATTTTTCTTTTTTCATATTACTTCCTTCATTAATGATTCGACAAATTTTGATAGCGTTTTTGTTTTCTAACTTTTTTTAAAAGTTCATTCTTGATAAAGAGAGTGATAAATATAAATTAAGGGCGGTGATTTTAAGGAACACTGTTTATTATTTTAAATCCGCCTTTCATGTTGATATGATTTGAAGAAAGGGATTGTGAGTTTTTATTTGTATTTTTTTTTAATCGTTTTTTTAATAAAACTGACCTGCATTTTCTTAACATGACAATAATAAGAAGAAAAACCTTCTTGGTTAACCTGATTTCAGTAGAACCCTGATTTATTAAAATTCTAATACTGATTCTCAATGCACACCCAGTGCTCGGGAGCAGTACTCACATCTCCCACCTAATGATCAGCTGAGTCGCTATATTTCATAATATTGTGGGGGGAGGAGTTATGGTCAATGCCAACCTTCATCTATCAAAAGGTACCTCTGGTGATTGAATGAAGTCAGCATGTCTTATATACCAGTGAATTGATGTTTAATAATCGTAGTGGTAGTTACGTCACAATACTCCCCCACCAGAATTTTATCAGGGATAGAATTCGATGAACGGATACCACTAGTTGTTGTACTTGTGAAAGACCGGGAGAGCTGGATTAAGGTCACTGGGTTTTTTTGAGTGCTGAATGTGAGAGGTGTATTAACTTCACGGTCGTAGTCGCTCCTGCTTTACCTCTAGCTGTCGAGTGTATGCAGGCTGACGTTGTGTATTACGTTGTGAGACGAGACTGAACAGCAACAGCGTGAGGAGGTGGATAATCTTGCAGTCTCAAGTAGCAAGTCAACTTTTCAATGTGAACCATCCATCGAAGTAGACGTTACCAGATCGAAGTGGGCGTTACTGTCAAGATAGGCGTGACCATATCACGTCCGGGTCACCAATGTGGGGGGAGGAGTTATCGACAATGCCTACCTTCATCTATCAACAGGTACCTCTGGTGATTCAATCAATTTAGCCTGTCTTATATACCAGTGAATTGATGTTTAATAATCGTAGTGGTAGTTATGCCACAATACCTCCTTGAGGCTTATCCTCCTAACCTCTCAATTTCATGATACCTGTAAGGCACTGTACACCAGGCGCTGATTCACGAATCCCCAGCCTTGGGAAAATATTAATTACTGTAATGGCGAAATTTAAAATGGTTAATGTTAAAAAAAAACAAAAAAAAAAAAACGAAATAATACGTTTACTTGCACATACTATCTGCACTATTAATCTGAAAACATTATTATTTCTCTTATCGTTCGAGTGGGGATGGCTCAAGGGATAGAGCATTCGCCTTCCAATGAGTTGAACCGGGTTCGAATTTCAGTGATGGCTGGTCGATGCGAATTCTCCTCGCGGCTCGCGCCGACCACAGTGATGACATAAAAACTATCCTCAGTGGTAGAAGGATCATCGGTTAGAGTCCTGTTGTCATTAGACTAACCGTGGGAGGTCTTCGTGGTTTTCCTCTCCATGTAACGCAAATGCGAATTAGTTCCACCAAAACGGAGGTAATCATTAGTAGTCGTGAACCCGAGAAATTGGATCGACTATTCAACGACGGTAATAAAGCAAAATAAAATAAAATTCCCTTTCCTCGATTATATATTTTACTTGTTCCTTTGCATATTTTATATTATTCGGCTACAAAATCTTGAATACTTAGCTGGCATCGTTTTTATAAATTACAAGATTTAAATTTGTCTTTTTAAAGGCATGAGTGTTACCATTTTCAGTGAAGATGATAAATTTGAAACCATGCTGAACGAATTCGACCTTTTTGATTCTGTGTCTGCTGATAAATAAATACAAATGTTTTAGTTCTCGTAAGAGTTATTTTTTCTTTTCAGAAAATTTATTAACTTTCCATCATTATTTTCCTAAAAGATGCAGAATATGCCACTGGGATACGTAATTTCTTTTTTCATGAAGAATTTTTAGAGTTCCATAAGGCATTTTTAGAGTTCTGCCCATGTTTACAATTGACAATCTTGAGGTACTTCGCAAAGAGTTATTTCTAAAGATAATTTTTTAATTGACTTCTAGCTCAGCGTTACAAAAATACTAATTTATCAAAAACAAAAAATCTTAGTACTTTTACTACGTGTATGAGAATTCGACATAAATTTTACTTAAAAACTGATGAGGAACGTGCTCTAAAACTTATACTGTTAGGTATTGCATCAAACTGAATTTTTTTGCTTCATCTTATAGCCACTAGTAACCAATTAAGAGATTTTTTTTCACACTAAAGATATGCTTAATAGAGTGCCAGTCGATTCCTTGGGTTATTTTTTGTATAATTTTTTCTCCACAATTGTTTTAATTTTTTAACGGTTTTTACTAGTTTGTACTTGTTTCCCTTCATGAACAATTAATCAGCCTGAATGAAAATCTACATAGTTTTATTGTTTTTCCCTTCTTAACTGATTATGCAATAGGACAGTTAAGTTCTTTTGAATTTTAGGAAAGGGAAAGGTTTTAAAAGGAGAAAAAGGTTCGGAATCACTTAGTGTAGGTTGGAAAAACGTGCGTATATATCCAATAAAATGCTTTTAATAAAACACTTAAAGCAATAAGATATAAGTTATTTTATTCACAATGATAAATACAAACAATATCAAAAGAATAATTATATCAAATTTACAAAATACTACATTCAACTACCAAAACTAAATTTTTATATGATTTATTTAATATACACAAGTATTGAAAGAAGTTACTATAATACAGCAAAAAAATAAACAAATAAAAAAATTATAATTATTTCGCTAAATTATTAACTAGAGTTCATTTTCACTAATACAAAAATGAACAAATTTAAAATCTACGTTGTGTGAATTTAACCCTTGTGAAAAATTTTTAATTTATGCGTTAAATTTGAAACAATTTTGGCATTAAAGTTCAGAAACCTTTCTGAAGAAAGCATCCAATGGAAACATGAAATACCATAAATTTCAATTCACATGAAAATCATGCATTATTCAACAGTTTTTAGCATTTAAATCGTTAATTTTTCATGTATAATTTAATACTTAAAGTTCAAATCACCTGCAAAATTAAATAGCTAGTGTTCACAATGCTCTTTTAATAATTAATCAATGATATAAAATATAATAATAACTTTTAATTTTTTTTAAGAGATACATATGATTTAGCAAAACGAAGAGGAAGCAATAAATCTGAATTTGTTGCCTTTCCTTCTAAAATTATTTACGTTATAACATATTTCTTTTAACAGTGTAAATATAATCATTATAACAATTTTTTAGATATGAATACAAGAATAAAAAACTATTATTAAAATAAATCATTAACACTTTTTTATTTATTATAGTTTAAAAAGTTTCATTACAAAAAACTGAAAGCTTTTTGTAAATTTTAACATAGCTTTTATTTGCAAAAGGAAGATGTTTGCTAGTTTACAATAAAACAGTTTAATTATCAAACTATATAGCAAAGAAATATGTGATGAAAACAGCATAAAATAAATGAATGACACACCTATTAAAAAGAATAAACAGAATTCAAATTCTTATGCATATATAAATTACACAAACTGAGCAAAATTCAGAAAAAGATACATTTGTAACAGAGTAGTTAAAAGTTAAGAAATTAGCAAATGCAAATAGCGCAGAGTAAACCAGAAACGAGAAATTTACATTGACAACTTGCAGAGAATAAACCAAATGTTGAGAAATTTGCATCTACACTTACAAAGAAAAAATCGAAAGCTGAGAGAATGCATTTACAAATGGTAGAGAATAAACCAAAAAACTGAAATTTGCATTTGCAAATGGCAGAGAGAAAGGAACCAGAAATTAAGAAAAAAAAACATCGACAAATGGTGGAGTATAAACCAGAAAAGGGAAATTTGCATTTGCAAATGACAGAGAAAGAAACCAGAAACTAAGAAATATGCATTTACAAATAGTAGCGAATGAATCAAAAGCATTTACAATTTTCAATGAATAAAATAGAAATTGAAAAATATGCAATTAAAAATGATAAAAGACAAATCAAGGGTTAAAAAATATATTTTGACGAATGACAGGTAATAAATCAGAAGGTGAGAAATTTTCATTTACAAATGGCACAGAATAAAAGAAATGTTTAGAATTATACTTTAAAAGAGTAGTAAAAACAAAGATAATAAAATTTATTAGTAAAGAGAGATTTTGCTCATCAAATATTCTTTTCATGTTAAGTAAAATAGTAAAGAGAAAAAAAATCACGAATTAAATTTTTACAACTGTTATATATTTTTTAACGACTTGGAAATTCTAGAAATAACGAAACGTATTCATAATCAGTTTAATAAATGGTGAAAATGAATTATTGCTTGAAAATGACTTCAGATTAATTTCCAGACATCTTTAAAGGTTACATTTTCCTGAGCGTCTTTAGCAAAGTATACATCATGACCTAAATATTAGAATTGATCTAAAATAAATTATAATATTAAAATATAAAAATCAGTTTATTGTTAAAAAAAACGACTACAACATATACCACTGATAGAACGTGAGGGGCAACACATTTTATTTATAGAAAACGGTTCGTTTATTTTAAGTTTCGTGCTCATATGCATATTTATTTTTTATATGTGTGTATATTTATATAAGTGCATGAGCAAAACTTAAGATAGATTAACAGTTTTCTAAAAACAAAAGTGTCGCGCTACGCTTAATTTAAACCTTACTAATCAGAAACAATAACATAATTTATTTTAACTAATGGTTATCGTTTTAAACATTTACATTTATGTTACTGTCCGATGCTTTTTTTCATATTTTATTTAAATGATATTGACGATTAACATGTTTTACATTTTAATTGTTGGTTATGGTTTATATTTCAATTCTTAAGATGCATAACTCAATTAATCTAAATCTTCCTAATTTACTATATCTAGTTCTGACATGATTTATGTTGTTTTTAACTTCTGGAACAAATTTAATTTTTTAAAAAAAACTTTTTGTTACTTTTTATTTTATTTATTTATTGTATAAAACGACATCGTATTTATCGCTAAGTACATATTTCATATTTTACATGCAATGATAGTGAACATCAGTCCGTAACATAAAATAAGCTGAAAATATCAAATATTGCAAAAAACGAAAAGAATGTCAAAAATTGCTCAGTCAGATTTGACTTAAATCTCTTGTTCTGAGACGGATCTGACTTCTTTCTTTCAAACGCTATTGATTATTAATGTTATATAAATTCGTTGCCACTAAATTTCCAAACCAATTCAGCTGTAATTTTAAATAAAAAGTTTAGTTTTGAAATCGAAGTTTAAATCTAAGTTAAAAATAAAAGTTCAAAATTTCAAAAAAAATAATTTAGCCTTTATTTATTATGATAATTTATTATGATCATTTATTATGACAATTTAGTATGATAATTTATTACCATACGTTTGGAAATTGGATGCGATAAACATACAGAACATTTATGTAAAATAGAATCTTCAATATTATATCAAGTTCGATATAAATTAGTTTATACCAAACTGAAATATTATACCAAACTGAAATATTATACCAAATAAAGAAAAAGTTTTAAGTAAAAAAAAATAATGAAACTTTTCGTTTACTAATTTTGAAAACAAGTTTTTCGTTAAAAAATATAGAATTTTAATCTGAAAAAAAATCTATAAATATTGTCACCGAAGGATCTGCACAAAACTTATTAAAACATGGATTACATTTAAATAAATATTAATAAAAAGTTACCTCAATTTGGATGCAGCGGATTGATTCAACGATAACGTGGAAAAGGAGGCAAAAAGTATATTTATTTTGGAAAAGTTTATTTATTTTGAAAACAAGTTTTTTGTTAAAAATTATGGAATTTTAAACTGAAAAAAATCTAGAAATATTGTCACCGAAGGATCTGCACAGAACTCATTAAAACGTGAATTACATTCAAATAAATATTAATAAAAAGTTACCTCAATTCGGATGCAGCGGATTGATTCAACGATAACGTGGAAAAGGAGGCAAAAAGTATACACTAGATCTTCTGTAATGCAAAAAAATTATTATTACAGTATAATTTAACAAATCAAATGAAAATAATAAAATTGAATCAAAAGTTGAAGTAAGAGAATTAGTTGATAAATATTGAATATGATGCTATTGGTTTATGTTACACTGTCATATTGTTGCGGGTATTGTGAGTTTTTTGGTTATGATACCAAATAATTCATGCTATTTTAGATAGTTAAAACTTACCTGTAGATATAGGAAATATAAAACTTCATTGTTAAGAGGCCTCTCTGCCAAAAATTCCAGATCAAATTAAGGTAAAACGTATCAGCACTCAGGTTGTCTTTACTTTTTACCATAAAATCCATTTTTACCGGAACATGTTACGTAACAAAAAACTGATATACCATAATTTTTACAGTAATTATTACCGAAAAAATACTGAATCACTCTAATTAAATAAATAATACTTAAAAATTACGGTATAATATTTTGCGTTAAAAATAGATTTTATGGTAGAATGGAATTTACAAATGAGGCACTCAAAATTATGGTACTTTATACCTTAATTTAATCCGGAATTTTTTACAGTGTTCTACCCTCGCTATTTTGAATCTTAGATAAAATTTTTGGCTTTTTTTTTCTTGATATTTTTTTGACTTAATAAGCTTTTAATAATATAGTATCATTTGGCAGTAATTAGAATTTAAAAATTTCGAAAATGAATGGATTGCTTTATTAGATAATGAGAAATAGCGCTTGATAACTTTCAGAAAGAATTTTCCTCAAAACTTAGAAACAATAAGGTGAAGCGATTTGGAGTTTTGAGTCAGTCATTTAAAACTACAGTTTTTTCAGTTTTTAATATTTTTTTTCAATTTAATTTTACTACGGATTCAACTAATGAAAACCGATTGGGATGATGCTAAAAATTCTTTTAACGTCAATTGCAAGATCCTCATCAAAATTCCAGAAACAAATAACTGTTTACTACTTAAATACCTTTCAAAAGTTGCTGATTTCAGAGCTGTATTGGTATAATTTTGTATGAAAAAAATTAATAGAGAATCTAAAATACCTCACGCTTTCAAATCAAATTCTGATTCGCCTGGCACAAATTCTGCTTCGTCTCTCGACGGCGAATATTTTACACGAATCAAAAGGTACTGCCGAAAAGAGTAAATATCCAAAGTTATTTATTAGTGAAAATTAAATAAAAAGGATTAAAACCAGACTTATAATTTTCCGACTCCACCTGTACCTATTTGACAATTGAGTTAGGTCTAGAGAAGAGAGGCTTAACAATTTTATCATGAGCAAATGTAACAATTAATTATTGGAAACCTGCTCTGCAATTACGAATTACTTTCAAAACAAGCGTAAACCGTAACTTACAATGTCTCTGCTTTACATAATAGGCTTTTTCGATAAGATTCAATGCCGCATACCACTTAAAAAATATTTTAATTGATTACATGCACGTTACAAATTACTTGCTGGTACATACATGCCTTATTTTTCGACATATTTCCCACCATTTCCGAAGCATTTGTTAAGTTTGGGGACGAACTTTTGTATTTCACAGACATAGAATGTTGCCGTCTATTGTCGGGACCACACTTCAATTTTGATCCTGTCATAGTAGTAAAAGTTTCATTATGTGGCAAAAAAGCAAGATGCTTTTTTGCAGGTATAGGAATAAGTTAGAGTTGTTATGTGCAAGGTCCGGAATGTATGCCGGATTATCTAAAATTTTCCATTTGAAACGTTTGAGTAGTGCTTTAGTTTGAAGCGCTGCGTGAGGACGAGCGTTGTCATTCAACAAACAAACTCCGATGAGCCATGGTGGCTCAGGGTATAGAGCGCTTGCCTCCCATCGAGGTGACCCGGGTTCGAAATAAATTCCGCACGCAACTCGCACCAACCATAGTTCTGACGTAAAGTATCCCCAGTGGTAGAAGGATCATGAGTTAGATTTCCCTTGCCATCAGGCTAACCGTGGGAAGTTTTCGCGATTTTCCTCTACATGTAAAGCAAATGTGGTTTAGTTCCATCAAAAAGTCCTCCACGAAGGCAAATTTCTTCCACTATTTGATATAGGAGTTCCCTTGTCTTCTGGATTGAATTCAAGTTCACAAGGCTACGGAGTTGAACACTGGTAATCGTAAACTCAAAAATTAGGTGGGCTGCTCAACGACGGTGGAGATAAAACAAACACCGATTACTTTAAATTGCCAGACATGTCAAAACCTCGCAATATACATCTACATTAATTATGGTGCCGGGAGGCACCATAATAATTATGAGTATCCACTGGGCATGAAAAAAATTTATTACGGCCGAACGTACATCTCATTTTTGCGAGATTTTGAACTGTCCCAGACATTATAGTACGTTCTGCTCAAACCAGGCTCACCGTAAAAATTACGGATTCATATATATATANATATATATATATATATTATTCACATTCACACACAGAGAGAGAGAAAGAAACATCCATGCCTTGCCCGAGATTCGAACCCAGGACTTTTCTGATGCAAGGACAGTTCCCTGCCCCATAGTTCCCCCAGGCCGGTCGGCAGTCAAATACTTAAATTAAAGATATTACAAGTTCTCAAACCTTGGCGCAGATACGATTTCATTTCCTGTTGTGGCAGTAGCTTTATCATCCTCCTTATCACACTCAACTAAAGGTCCTTTAACCCTCTGCAAGGCTAAATGGCAACATTGATGCGCCATTACGCAACAGATCGAACTAAATATTGGAAATATGGGACACATTGCAGCACTGCATCCAAAACTGTCGACAGGTGGCGAGAAATAAGCCAGCAAACAGATACAAGAAGTGATGATATAGATGAATTTCATTCTTGAACCTGATAGGGGTTAAGTTTTAATCTGAAAAGAAATGAAAACTGAATTTACACACAGACTTTTAGGAGAAGAGGTGCTCAAGAATAATGAAGTTACGAACAGACATGCAATTAAAATAACATGAACATAACATGTTATTTTAATATCAGATAAATAAGATGGTACTTGATTTTGCTTCATGCACTTATTTGGCTATTTCTTATCATTAAATGCCAAGAAAATTCACAAAGATAGTTTCGTAGACACAGTTTCGTAGCTTACAAAGGGATCCTTAAAAAAGACACTAAAGTGAAATATAACTTAGATGATACTTAAAAAGAAAACTTTTTTTTTCTATTATATTAATTTAAAAAAAAAAGGGAAAAATAAGAGAAGCAGAATGACTCATTTTTGAGTACCAATTGAATAGTTGTCTTTACTATTTATTGACAGTAGTTGGCAAACAAGCTCTGATTGAAGAATTGGCTAAATTATAAAAATTTTATTCGTATGCATTTTCAAAACTAAAATGGAGAACTACTTTTAGAAACAGTGTATGGAGCACAAAATAAATATGAATCATCTGAATAACTTTTAATCTGGTGATCGAATTATCACAATCTAAGGTAATGTCTTAATAATTCGAGACTATATACTTTAAATATGTAAATGAAAATAATTTAAATTCCAAATCCGTCCCAAAAATATTCGTTCTCCAAAGAGAACTTATCCTTTTTTTCGAAGTGAATAAATTAGGGAGGTGTTGATTCTGAATTAAAAATATTTGTTCTCTTAAGAGAACTTATCCCTTTTTTCGAAGGTGAATAAACTAGGGAGGTATTGATTTTGAATTAAAAATATTCATTCTCTAAAAATAATTTTTTTTCGAAGTTGAATAAATTAAATAGGAATTGATTTCGAATTATTATAATTACAATAACTCAAATATAATTTTGTCAAGTTTTCAAAATGTACTTTTTTATAAAGTGTTCTAACGATTTAAACTATATTTTACATCTTAAATTTACAGCATTTATAATTTTTTTGTATATATATTTAAAATGAGGTTCCTTTTTTCTTGGTTTAAGTTTTTTATTTAACTTTTATCATTCAAACTTTTTACCTTTTTATTTTAAAGGTCAAATATAAAGAGACTTTTTCTTGCATATTTATTAATACAGGAATTCCAAATATTAATATACTTAGCTAAAAATCATCAAATTAGTTGAATGCCAAGGAGATTCTCTCGTCTGTAAAATACTGTTTAACACAGTGATTCTCAACCACTGTGCCGCGGCACTTTTGTGTGCCGCCAAATATTAGAAATGATACAATAAAAATTATAATGTTTTTTTAATATTANAGCACTCTCTCATCGTATAACTGCACGTTTCGACCCAATTTTAAATGCATGCAAGTACACTTTTTAAATCCTATACCCTTCTCGCTGTTTTCGTCAACCCACCAATTCTTATTGCTTCGCTATTCGAACTCTCAGCACTCTCTCATCGTATAACTGCACGTTTCGACCCAATTTTAAATGCATGCAAGTACACTTTTTAAATCCTATACCCTTCTCGCTGTTTTCGTCAACCCACCAATTCTTATTGCTTCGCTATTCGAACTCTCAGCACTCTCTCATCGTATAACTGCACGTTTCGACCCAATTTTAAATGCATGCAAGTACACTTTTTAAATCCTATACCCTTCTCGCTGTTTTCGTCAACCCACCAATTCTTATTGCTTCGCTATTCGAACTCTCAGCACTCTCTCATCGTATAACTGCACGTTTCGACCCAATTTTAAATGCATGCAAGTACACTTTTTAAATCCTATACCCTTCTCGCTGTTTTCGTCAACCCACCAATTCTTATTGCTTCGCTATTCGAACTCTCAGCACTCTCTCATCGTATAACTGCACGTTTCGACCCAATTTTAAATGCATGCAAGTACACTTTTTAAATCCTATACCCTTCTCGCTGTTTTCGTCAACCCACCAATTCTTATTGCTTCGCTATTCGAACTCTCAGCACTCTCTCATCGTATAACTGCACGTTTCGACCCAATTTTAAATGCATGCAAGTACACTTTTTAAATCCTATACCCTTCTCGCTGTTTTCGTCAACCCACCAATTCTTATTGCTTCGCTATTCGAACTCTCAGCACTCTCTCATCGTATAACTGCACGTTTCGACCCAATTTTAAATGCATGCAAGTACACTTTTTAAATCCTATACCCTTCTCGCTGTTTTCGTCAACCCACCAATTCTTATTGCTTCGCTATTCGAACTCTCAGCACTCTCTCATCGTATAACTGCACGTTTCGACCCAATTTTAAATGCATGCAAGTACACTTTTTAAATCCTATACCCTTCTCGCTGTTTTCGTCAACCCACCAATTCTTATTGCTTCGCTATTCGAACTCTCAGCACTCTCTCATCGTATAACTGCACGTTTCGACCCAATTTTAAATGCATGCAAGTACACTTTTTAAATCCTATACCCTTCTCGCTGTTTTCGTCAACCCACCAATTCTTATTGCTTCGCTATTCGAACTCTCAGCACTCTCTCATCGTATAACTGCACGTTTCGACCCAATTTTAAATGCATGCAAGTACACTTTTTAAATCCTATACCCTTCTCGCTGTTTTCGTCAACCCACCAATTCTTATTGCTTCGCTATTCGAACTCTCAGCACTCTCTCATCGTATAACTGCACGTTTCGACCCAATTTTAAATGCATGCAAGTACACTTTTTAAATCCTATACCCTTCTCGCTGTTTTCGTCAACCCACCAATTCTTATTGCTTCGCTATTCGAACTCTCAGCACTCTCTCATCGTATAACTGCACGTTTCGACCCAATTTTAAATGCATGCAAGTACACTTTTTAAATCCTATACCCTTCTCGCTGTTTTCGTCAACCCACCAATTCTTATTGCTTCGCTATTCGAACTCTCAGCACTCTCTCATCGTATAACTGCACGTTTCGACCCAATTTTAAATGCATGCAAGTACACTTTTTAAATCCTATACCCTTCTCGCTGTTTTCGTCAACCCACCAATTCTTATTGCTTCGCTATTCGAACTCTCAGCACTCTCTCATCGTATAACTGCACGTTTCGACCCAATTTTAAATGCATGCAAGTACACTTTTTAAATCCTATACCCTTCTCGCTGTTTTCATCAATCCACCAATTCTTATTGCTTCGCTATTCGCACTCTCAGCACTCTCTCATTGAATAACTGCACGTTTCGACCTAATTTTGAATGTAAAGTACACTTTTTAAAACGCAATATTAAAAATATGCAGCATAAACATCCCGGAAAACCTTTAATCTATATACATTTTATTCAATTTTTGTACATTAAGATTTATTTTTATAAATTACTTGAAATTACATTGGAAATTGCATTCTATTCCAAGCTACCTTATCTTGAGCCTTGACTTTCCATCCGGTTGCTTTGAGGTCACTTAAGGGGGGACCCCACCCTGAGGTGGTAAAATATTAACGTTTTTCTTGAACTTTTAAGTAATAGAGACAATGCAGAGACTCCTTGTTTTTTTATGTTATTTAGCTACAATTTAAGTCTATTTTTAAAATAAAAATTTACAAAATAATAAAAAATAAGTTGGTAGCAGCTCCGTGTGTGGCTGGTCATCAAAAAGTAGCACTTCACTGGCCTCATGGATTTAGAAGTCCTGAAACATAGGAAAACGATTTTGTTTAGATTTTCTGAAACATAAAGACATTATCTAAAAAGTAGCAGAGCGGTTTTTTGATATTCACAAAATTACCAAAATGGATCATTAAAAAAATATTCATTAAAATACTAATATAAAATCGAAACATAAAAATATCAAAAAAATCCTATGCTACTTTCTAAAGAATATATTTTTACGTAATTTAAAATAAAGAACAACTTATTTCGTTCATGAGAAGAACGTTAGGCCAGGTCAAAAAACAGCGTTTTGAGAAAAACGCGTTTAAAGTTTTGACTTATGTTCAATCTAGTAAATTATTAAATTAGTAATGACTAACCTTTATTCTGCAGAGAGAGAGAGAGAGAGAGAGAGAGGGAGAGAGAGAGAGAGAGAGAGAATTTTTTTTTTAATTATTATTCTCCACTACAAAAACGTGGTTTTTAAAAATATTATTTTTTATTTTGAATTTTTTTTAATTAACTGTTAACGTTAATTAGTTACAGTACCTAAAGGATGACTCAGTGGTAAATATTTGTATTTAGTAGCAGGAAAATTTATTTATGAAATCAAAAGTTTGGGTTCGAGGGATTTCTTTAAATAAAAAAACATTTTTGTTTAAAAAATGACTTTATTTAGCAATGTATAAAAAAAAATTAATGATCACTAAATGTTAATAAGTTTCACGGCCTTGTGATTTAATGTCGAATTTTTTATTTTCGAACAACAACAACAACAAATTCCTATCAGGAACATAAGAATTGACAGTAAATTTTGTAAAATGCATTTTTTATTATTTGTTATTATTACCATGGGAACTTAGAAAAAAAATCACATAAAATTGTGTTCATTTGTTGAAATGCTTAAAGTTGAAGGCGTGAAGTCAGATTGTCCTTGTATAAAAATCATTCTGTCTTGCTGTTTTATGGCATTTCGCGGGTGATTAGTTCTACAGATAAAATTTAGTGGCTAAATTTTATTTGCCAAGTGTCAACGATTCATTTAGAATACACAATGAACAAATCTTGGTTTTTTTTGCTTCCTATTTTTAGATTAACTCTTTTGTTCCACGTTTTAAAATGAAAAAAAAAAACCTGTATCATCATTTTGTTTTAAGATTAATCTTTAAGCATTTTTAAAAATTGAAATATACTCCAGAAAAAGCGTTCATAAAAGATGCATTAACAAATTAAAATTTGGTTGATTGTTTTTTAATTATTTAGTGCAGCGGTTCCCATTTTATTCCGGCAATAACATCCTAAGTGATTAAATGATACCGGCGGAACCTCAACTTTATAGATAAAGTAAATAAAGACCATTTCGAACGTATTTACCAATAAAAGACTTATTTTAAAACTACTTAAGAGGAATG